GCTGGCAGTTCCCGCCGTTCCCGCCTGCTGCTCGCAGCTCCTCCCCGCGCCGTGAGGGGCCGGGGGCGGTGGTTCTGAGGCGATCTCGGGGTGTTGCTGCTGGCTCTGCTCTCACTGTTAATCCTAGGGGTGGTTTATTCGTGGGGAAGCTATGTGTGGGGGAAAGCTTGCTTTGTGTTGGGCCTCTGAGCGTGTTGCCTGCTTGCTTTAGGATCCGCCTTTATCCCAGGGTGCAACTGTAGTTTACCTACATGACTGTCACAGTTGGCCAGGGGATGCTGTCCCTCTTCACCATGAAGCTGGCGAAGCAGCCGGGTGCTGTGCTGGTGCCGAACCTCTTCCGGCAGTTTGCAGTGCAACGAATGTCCCTCAGGTGTTCAAAGACGGGTTCAAATCCTGACCGTGTGCAAGATTTTTCCCATTGGCATGTTTCGTTGGACTCTTGAGTTAACTCAGACTTCTTTACGTATTGCGTAAGTTAACATGCAGATTTTGCATGCCAACTTTTACATATTGCCTAAGTTATCATGCAGCATGCAATATATATTTACTATTTCTATATGCTCATATTTTGCTTCTGCTCTGAAAATTTTACATTTTACACTGTGCATAGATAACTGACTTTTTAGACAGATCTTTTAATTACATTAAATATCCATGAAAAGAAGAAAGGTACTACAAGTGAATGGTGGTCATAAAGAATTTGGTTTTGCTCTGGAAAGCTGGAGCTGCACAAAGTTTTAGTGAAAAAGAGTTGGTGGAGCTTGACATATTTGGTGGGTAAAGAAATTGTGCTTGTTTCTCGCCCTCCATAAGAGTTGTGATGCTTTTATCCTACAGCATTTTCAACTAAAATGTTCAAAGCCCATTAAGGATTTAGAAATACTATTTTCCTCAGTATTTTCCCTGAATTATTTTTTTTCCCATGTATTCAGGCATCTATCAGTGTAAAGTTGTTTTTTTGGGTAATATTTGGAAAATAAACAAATAAAAGATTGGTTCTAAATCATCTCTAAAAGTGACGCGTATATCATTTTGTGTGAACTTTTAAACTTTGATCCCACATTGCCCTATTCCATTGAACTAAAATGTAGTAATATCATTATCGTTCTTGGACCTATATGATGTTCTGGGACTTCAAAAAGTTTTTGTTTTCCTTTTGAATTTTAATGAAAGAGAATCCTTTGCATTCCTAACTAAACCGGTTTATCCCTTCACACCTCTTCAATTCAGATACTTACCAGGCCTTGGTTCATGGCCACTATCTGTTAAAAGATAACTGGAGGATGTTCCATTCACCCTTGATAACCAATATGCCTTAAGTGGCCATAAAGCTTGGGAATTAAAGGATGTGTCCATTAGGATTAGTAAAAGGTATAATAAATACATGGGGTTTCAGAAGAGCTGCAAAATTGGTTAGAAGTATGGAAAGGCTTCAAAATGGGCAAAGACTAAAATTTTTAGTAGTGTTTACTTCAGGAAGAAGAGATACAACTGAAGTTTCCAGAATAACAAAAACTACAAGGATGTGCATATATCACATGTATCATATATATACTTTAAAACACTGCAAACACAAAAGTCTTGAAGACAGTATATATAAATCTATCACAGAATGTCCTAAAGTTGTAAAGCTCATTGTGATGAGGTATGACTGATGTCAAGAGGTTTGCATAATTAATTATTCCAATTGAGCAATAGAAATACAGAGATATAAGCTGTCATGTAACTTGGCATGATAACTTCCATGTGATGATACATGGGCAGGTACTGCACTAGACACATTTGCTGCTTCATCTGCCCATCTTCCTCCAAAAGTAGTTGTTAAAAAAATACATCACACTGACCTGATAGAGCAATTTCTGTGTGTACTAATCTAACAAGATTTTAAAAGAATTAACACAGTTTGCTTGTGTGAAATTTTATTCCTCCCTTTCTGTCTTGTAGCACCACTGCATATTCAGCCTTGTGCTCATACCTGGCTTTTTGGCATTAATGTCTACAGGATTAATAAAATAGTATTAGTCGGTCTTTTTAACTTATGCTGAACTGAAATTAATTGTTTAGTTGTAATTCCAGATCATCTCCCCAGACAATATTCTTTAACAGCCATTATGCATCAGGAGGTTTTTTTGCCAAAGATTTAATGGTTGTGAAACTGTTGGGCCTCTGGGGATGGAGTCACAGAACAACTCTACTGGCTTGTAGACTTTTAATGAAAACCCGTGTCAGTGCTGCCATCTTTTGGACATTCTTTAACTGCTTATTATGGAAAACTTCGATCAGATTAACGAGGACATTGTTCATGAGGGATGTGGGGAACAAATGTCCTGCTGTGTACTTCGATTCCATTCTTAAAAATGCAGTTGTGTGCACAAGCACACAGCTTTGTGAGTGTGTAGGGATCTCTCCAGATTAAAAAAAAAAAAAGCTGAAGAACAGTTTGGGACCTGAAATCTTAAAACACATGGCAGTTACCTTTTTCTGGGCTATTAAATAATTTAGTCATGCATTCCTCAGATGGAATTAATTTTGCCTATGGAAACACACAATTTCCATGAGGGTATTTTAGATTTATTTTCCTCATTGCATTTGAAGCATTTATTTGCAGGCCTGATTATTCAAAAACACATTGTCTGTCTGGGAAACTAAAAAGTGAAGAGTGCACAGATCAGTCCAACATGGAAAAAATGAAAAAACACTCTGCTTTATCTGAGTGAAAAGAAAAATATCCTTCCAGAGAAATGCTGAAAGTTCAGTTACATGAATGCCTAGAACAGGAATGATGTGGCTCTTCAGGAAGAAAAATTTCTGCCTTCCCTTCTTGGGAATTAGATCTCACTTTTTGGTCCTTGCTCTACGGACAGTGCACTAATATTTCCAACAATGGGGGTGTTTCCTTCATTTTTCAGCAAACAGCACTCCAGGAGAAAAATGTGGTAGAAAAATCAGTCATCTCAAACTTCATAGGTGCCAGATACAGTTCAGTGAATAGCTCTCCCTAACAAACTGCTTTGGGGAGTGCACTAATAGCCTACCGAAAACCACAGAGAATTTAACCGTATGCGTTGTTTCCTGTGACAAGGAAACAAAACCTCCTTACCCACCACTAAACCCTTACACAGTAATAACGAATTTGGTTCCTGTTTTCATGCTGGGTCATGGTGGAATGAAAGAAGAGCTCGTAGTCATCTTACTCATGTTATTACTGACTACATGGGTATGGTGATCTGCTCTATACAGTAGTTACAGATTGTTACAGGTTTCACAGTGTTGCAATCTAGCACAAGTTTAGTTCTGGTGCCTTGCCTGTCATCCTGAAACACCACTACGAGACTGACCCATTCACAGAATTATAGAATCACAGAATGCTAGAGATTGGAAGGGACCTTGAAAGATCATCTAGTCCAATCCCCCTGCCGGAGCAGGACATTCATAGCTGTTGCTATGTCATTTCAGCCTTTATATATTTATCATAATTTTTATCTATCTTTGTAAACATACTTCTTGAAATTGAAGTATTATCAAAACTTTGTGTAGTACTCTGACAACAAAATTAGGAAAAAAAAGACATATTCTGGCAATATAACTAGAAACAAGACAACATTTAATTTAAATAAAAAACTTTATTAACAATGTAAAACGCTTAATATCTTACAGTCCAAGTGAATTCTGGCATGCCCTACTGGAGTTAGTGATATGCAGACACCATGCTTTGAATTCTACTGGAAACAAAATGGGTTGGTGTTGTGTTTTACATTGTTTATTTTAATACATCTTATTTTAATAAATTATTTATTTTTTCCAAAAGCTTGTAGAGATACTATCAGTTTAAAAGGAAATCTGTTGCTTCTATGCATTGTACAGTATGTAGGTATTATGATTTATCTGTATTTACAAGTTCAAAGTATTTTCATATATGCTTTGTATTATCATAAATTAAGATATTTTTCTATGAAGCTTTTAAATTGAGATATAGTGGAAGACTAAATATGAATGAGAGCACAAAAAGCAACTGGAGATTTTGTGCAAATTCTGTTACAATATTTTTTATATGTTTTAGAACTTTAATACTTTTGCTGTTAAATAGTTTTCTATGCTTAAAGAATGTTAGAATATGATCAAGTGTTTTAATATGATGCTAATAAGAGTACTGTACTATGCACAAACTTTCAGCTGCAGTTCAAACAATAAAAAAAAAACTTTAAAATGATCTGTTAACCATAATTCATGTGTCTTTTCTCTGAGGGGTTGAAAGTGAGCATGCAAAACATACTTTAAAAAGTTTTAAAAACATTCTTAGTTATGCTAGATCTATTCCACAGCTGGTTTTTGACCACCATAACTTTAAACTACTAAAACCCTTATTTTGAAAAGGGGGATGGAGCAGAAGAGAAAAAGGAATTTGCTAGTGTAGAAAATGTACTTTTTAATCAAGAGTAGAAATGTTCATATTTTCAGTGGTCAAATAACAGTGGTTTAATCAAAGTTGTGATTTTCTTGGTGCATCTGTACTCAATCTTCTAACTTGAGACAAGACAACATAGTCCAAAGAACCTTCGCTTCCGTCTTCTTACCAATGGATACGGAGTCAAGTTTAGGAGGCTGCTATCATCTATCATGAAAAAAACCCCACATTTTAATAAAAGCACGTACACATGCACACACACAAAAGAGTTAACATCATTTATGTGTCCTCACAGCACATACATGACCAAGTAACAAATCCCACTGTTCAACACATAGAGCAAATAATAACTTTAATTTTGTATAAAAGAGTTTTACGATGCTAATTATCAGGATCTCCATGATAATGCAACAGAAATTTTGTCAAGAAGAATACCAGTTCAATGATAGAAATTACACCTCCAGTACTGAGAGACCTAAGCCACAATATTCCTGCATGGAGGAATAATGTTAGGGTCCCAAATAAAACGTGAAGATAAGTACCTTGAGATCTTGCACACATGCAAGTTTGGAAAAGTCGATCCTAAGGTTAAACTCTGGCTTAATTTAAACATAAAAAACCCCTTTATTGGGTGGCCATTTGTGCACATCAGGGAGAATTTCCATTTAAAACTGCAACACTGGAACATCCTGGCACATCACGAGAAAAAGCACTTGTCTAGGAAAGTTAGCACAATAAGCACACCCTTTTTCTGGTTACCCTTCTACCTTTTATATTAACTCCTTTAAATACATACAAAATGTGTGCATTAGTGCCTGTACTTCTGTTAACTCATGCACTGTCAGCAAGCTGTCTTGGAGCCACCTGCAGGCACGGTTTCCGGCCAAGAGCTATGCCTCATTATGTTCCCATTCTGGCTACATCAGGGACCTAGTTTTGATTGTAAGCTCTGGACACTACTGTAATGCAAATAATTAACTATTAGAACATATATAAGAGATTTAATATTGTGACTCAAACTTATGAACCACATCAACTGAATTTCTTAGTATAGTAACTTTCCTGCTGTCACTTAAGAGAATTGTATATGAAAAAGATAGGTCTGGTATGCAGTCAGTAAGATTACTATGTAAAGCTTTTGTGGGTTTGCAATCAACTTTATTTTGGCTGTCACTGAAATCAACAGTAAACCACTCTACTGAAAGCAGGGTACGGTCCTGTAAAGATCAGCTTATTCAGTGGCATTCATTCATTTCACAATCATTCTCATAAACAGTGCTTCTAATTCATATACATGTCAAAATTCCAGTCCAGACCACATTAACTACCTATAATGTTGTTTGTTCTATTTACTTACGCTGTTATCTAGCTTTAATTAATTAAAGGTCTTGGAATATTTCAAAAATTTTAAGGCTCTATGAATGATGAGTATGACTGTCCATCCCTGGGGCATCCATTCTCAGAGGTCATCTGTAATCTATGATCACAGCTGGAGTCTGTGGGAGCTGTGAAACAGCACTCATGATTACCTGATCCTAGGGCATGTCTCAGAGCTGCTACACAGGTGATCAGTGATTTTCTTGTATGCCTTTATCTCTGTTTTGAATTCAAGTTTCTGCATGCTTTATGTCCCCCAAATTTGTCTTTTTCTTCCTTATTTCCACCACTCTCCTTTATTCTAGGCTAGGCATAGGCTTCATGGCATTTTTCCAGTCTCTACAACAGCACATCTGTAGCATGTATCATAAGCAATTCCCTTTCTCCTTTCACATAGTTTTCCATCAAGCCATCCTGCCATAAACTCCTACTTGTATAATGAATTCATCCATTCTGTATTCATCTCTTCCCATATTATGATGAATGCTAGACTGCTTAGTTACTTGGGACAAGATCTAGGACACATGAGGCATACTTCATCAGCTGCCATGGTGTGAAGACTGTACAGCATTTATGAAATACACGTTATCAAGAAGAAATAAAAAAGGAAAATTATTATCTTTTTAATGTTGTTCACATGAAGAGAGTCCCTGCAGATGTGGAATATTTAACACTGCTGCATCACAAAATGAAGGCCCATTGCTAAACACATCCATAGGATGGAGATCCTGCCCCCCTAAGCATTTGTATAGGGGGCCTTATAGCTGGCTACTGTGAAAAGCAGGCTGTTAGCAGACGCAAGGGAAGTGTTTTTTCTGCATAGAGTCAGGGTCCTGTCACAGAAACAACAAGACTTGTAGGGGTAATGCAAACTCCATCACTCAGTAAGAACCCTGTGATAGTCTGCAATTTACACCTTCTTTACCTTTCAAAAGAAAGCCTCCTGACACAGGAAATTACTTCTGCTGCTGCCTTCATGTCACCAGCAAAAGTCTATTATTTTATCTACAGATAGCATATCTATAAAATTCCAGAATACCTTGTGAAACTTGAGAGGTCAAAGTTCACATACTGAATTCTGGCTCCACTGAATCAGTAGGGAAGAGACATCACCTAGATTTTTCTTTTTGTAACTCCTATTAAAAACCCTAAATTTATCAGTGTGAGTGGAAGGCAAAACCTTCAACTATTTTAATTTTCCTTACCCAAAGAAAATAGAAAACCTACCTTGGTTTTTCAGTGGTAAAGGCATAGTCTCCCTGAGTTTACTTAAAAGGTTTTTCATTTCTCTCATATCTCTGTGGAAGCAAAAGTTGAAAGAGATATAATAGAATGGCTGTTGAAGCCTGAATCGGGAATGGCTCACAGTAAAGCTTTATATGCTGAAATAATGGAACAATAAATACAAAAATCTATTGGTCAAGCATTTGGTTCACATACAGGTATCAGAAGATGCATAGCAAATTAAAGGGCAGTAGATTTAATAAGGGAGCACTTTTAAGCCAGTCTGATATTAACTAGTCACATCTGGTCCAAATTTATGATCTATTTTGGCACTTGAGTATTCCACATTAAATGAGCTGGTGGGCACAATGTGATCCTAAGTCGCAAAATTAGCACAAACTTGTATTAATGTCAATTTAATACCCCTTAACAGCATTTTGTAGCTTCTGCCATGAATGTGTTTCACTGTTCAGAAGGAAATTGTAATACATGTCGCTAATCCATGACAGGCTCCCGGCATTTTAAGTGACAATTTTAGAAACAGGGCTGTCAGTGTCACCCCTCTTAGGAGGACTCTGGCATGAAGTTTTCTAAAAGGCAGAAGATGGAAAATATGATAACGAAATATCATTTCACAAAGCAAGTTACATTTGGATATGTTTTGAAAGAGGTCAGAAGGTTCCTGTTCTACATACAGATGGCAGACCAGCAATTTTGTGTGCAGGCTTTTAACGTCTTAGGGCTTTCAGGATTTAAAAACAATGTTGCCTCATTCATCTACATATGAAATAGTTCTTAGAAATGAATAAGAAATTGCTCAGTTTTATTCTCCAAGTTACTCTCTCACTTCTCTCTGCCCTTCTTTTAGGAGTTGCGCTCAGATATATTAAATGTAACAGAAATGTTAATAGGTTATTTAATTTACTAAAGCCTTTAACAGTTGCAATACTGGCTGTCTAATTGGAAAGACTAAATAAATCCTAGACAGAAGGAAGTGCTACACATACCTTTCAGTGTTTTCAATATCTGTGGAAACCTGCCATAAATGCTGCTGAGTATCTGTTGGTGATGATGATGTGTCTTCTAAAATAGGTACTTCAGAACCCTCCTCCACTTTAGTATCCAGGATCTTGGGTGGGGCACAAGGTTCTTTTCCTTTAAAATATTTAAAGAAAATATCATCATTATTTGTTAATTAAAATGCATATTCAGATTATGTAACTGATGGTTTGACCTTGATCTTGCAAGAGAATGGTGAAGGCAGACTCTGAGTAAGAACTGTTCAGAAAGAGAGCAGACCACATCAATCTCCTAATCAGAGTTCTGCTATATGTTACTCCTACCAATCAAAACTAAGGGAAGCCCCATGCAGGCATGTGCAGAGCTTAGAATTTTACACAGTATTATGAAGAGTTTCAGTTAAACTCCAGTGGCTCACATGTGACACCAAATAGGAGCCAGAGGACAAAACAGAACAAAGTAAGTAAGGAAACCACAGCATACATTCTGAAAGCAACCTCAAAAACTTTGACACTAAAGATCATTGTGATACATGTCTCTTAGTATGACAGCAATACTAAAAACAAAAGACAAAAGTGTGCAGTTTTGTACTTTGTGATTTTAAAACCAATACATATCTGCCACCACTCACAACCCAATATGCATTATATTCTGAATTTCCATGCTTACACTTGCCTAACTCATGCTTACCGTATGGAAATGAAATACAGTGCTGGAATTTAATGGGGGCTTCATGACAGATCTGCCAGGGCTTTTGTCAGGGAGAGAATGGGATAAAGGATATGGGCCATGATAGTGGAGCATGCGAGAGTGTTAAGTACTGGTGGGATTTTTTGGTATCCTTACAAACCTCCTGTGAACTGTCTGATTGTATTCCTTTTCTGCAGTAGCAAGTACAGTCCTGGCACCAAATACAGTTAAATGATAACATTCAAACTGGACTGCATGCCAGACATGTTATTGTGAAGTTAAAAAGTTTTTCCCACTCTGAGTTCTCTCATGAAATGGAGTAAAACATCTCAGAAAGAAACAAATAAGAATTTCTCAAAATAGAGAAAAAAGTCAATGTTTAAACCAGTGGTACGAGGAGTTGAGCAGGAAATGTTTTTTCAGCTGACAATTTTTGCAATTTAAAACATTTTCACATCAGGACAACCCTGAGTGGTTCCTATAAGGTTTGACAAAAAACTAGGAAGAACAGGAACAAGTAACATAGTGGTGGTCATATTTAGCCCATTTTTCTGGGACATGAGACCAAGGTTGCAGACCATGCTGTATTGTTCTTCCACATCACAAATAAGTATCCTCACTATCAGGCTTGTAACCTTGGTGTTTTTTTTTAAACTAGAAGTTCCTGGATCTTAGGAAGCTCTTTTGGGGCAGGTCCTCTAAACTGTTGCATTCTGGTAGATTATTTCTTTGCTGAAAAAAAATATTCTTAGCTACTTGTCTGGATGTTGAACTAGACATTACTTATACTGCAGAACATACCTGCTTAACGTTTTCATTACTCTATAAAGTCAGGAGGTCTGTAACAAAGTCAGCCCTTTTCCATACTTCCTCCCCAACTAAGTCATCTAACTGTGATTCCAAGAGATGATCCTATGGCCAGAAGCAGTGTCAGGGAGGAAGAAGTGAAGGCATGATAAGTGTGGGGAGATAGAATGGAACGGGGATCAAGATCTTTCTGGTGGTAACAAGCTACTATGCTGACTCAATTGCTTGTAGAACAGCAGCCTAAGCCTACTTCCCAGATTATGCATTTTACCCTGTATCACCCTGTAGCCATGAATTTCAAATTTTCCTAGTTCTTACCTGCAGCTTATGCTGTTATTTTAAGGAAGTTCATATTGTACAATTTTAATTGCTCATTTGTGTAAGTTTCATTATTCATTACTTTTACCATTACAAGAAGCCCATAACACAACATACTGTTACCAGTATCTCACTTTCCACTTCTTCATGAAAGAGGGTTGCTCCAGGGAAACCATCTAATTTGCCACTGATATCACAAGGTGTTACTGCTTGAACTGGCTATTAGATAATTCTCCCACTATTTTGAAGTGTTATGTTGGAACTCTGGCCTGACCTTTGGTGACACACTGCCAAGAACAACTCTGTCTATAGATGCATCCTTCAGGGATGTGAAAGGTGTTTCAATGGCAACAATAACAATACTAGATGAAACAACAGTAAAGGTTCTTTTTCACGACTTGAGAACAGAAGCACTAACACTGTAACCTTTTTGTTAGCAAAAAGGCAAGCTCTTGCAGATTTAGCAGAATGAAGGGCACAGATTTCTTTTCAACTGAAAAGAGCTCTTTACCAGTAATTCTGTTGTATTGTGAACAATCCATGAAGCCTTTCTTGAATTTCAGAGCATCTGCTCAATCACTTGAAAACAGTTAAAATCAGCTAATAATAAAGGCTTTACTTGAATAATGGATATGACTCAGGCTTAACATTTCTACTCCATGGCACAGCCAGTACAGAAACAAAAGCTGTTTAATCTTCTCATACTTCTAGTGGGGGTAAGGATATATTTTGTATTACACATTCTTAAAATAAGGATAGGAACCCTAAATTTTGCTTTCAGTTTAGTCAGTGGAAAGACTTTCATTAATTTCAGCTGGAGTCTGATCATGCACACTGTTTTCAGAGGAGTCCGCATACACTTGCTGTTCTTGCCAGCTGACTAGACAGAGACTCTTTTTACTGTGAAATTTTACTGTAAAGTGTGATGTATTCTTTGTCTTCTAACCTCTAATACAGCACTTTTTTATTTTAAGTAGAAAGTGCCTTTGGTATGAAATTTAATTTAATGAAATAATGCTGAAGATCAGAAATGAGTGAGGATAAATAAGAGGGCAGAAAATGATCAGTTCAGTATGACTACATACATAATCTACATACATTGTGCTTTATGTGTCTCACCTGTTGTACTCCTTACTACTTCTGTGGTAACCCCTCTGTTTCCTTCCGTCGTGCTACACCATGCACTTACTCTTAGTCATCACCTGCTTCCCAGAGAAACTTCAATAATGAAAAAAACATCTATTACAGGTCCCTCAGACTTAGTTACACTTCACTGCAGATGAACTGGAAAGATCTTTGAGGGGAGTAACAGAATTTAACAAAGCGGAGAGAACCCCTCCCTCAAAAAGAAGGCAGCATTTGCACCAGACTTCTAACCTGGCAATTAAGGATAAATGCACAAGCTATAGATGACAGCTAACATAAATGAAAAGGAGAACATAAAAGGGAAACAGGGAGGAATCACATAGGAAGTAAAGAAGAAATGTGGCAATATGGCTAACAGCCTAATTAACTTTATTTCTGACTTACACTTGGGACCTGCAGAACTCAGAGACTGTCTCACTGGAAATATTATTATTAAGGAAAATGCAATAGGAACAACAAATATGTGGTAGAAGTTGTGTTTTCCTTCTCCCATGCCTGTTTTTGGTGCTGCTTCACAGTGTCCACATAAGAATGGGTGATTCTCTCTATTTTTTAAGTGCTTGTTTTCCCACACCTGTGTGCTTCTCTTCTCTCTCATATCTTATCCCTCTTGTGTAAATATATGTGTAAGTAGTTACACGTCTATCAGTCTTTAAACAGAATGCTGAGATTGTAGCACATCTGTTAAATGATCCTTCCTTTCTTCTTGAAAACACTGAATAGCATGTAATGTAAACAAAGCCAAATAAAACAAGAATCCCTTCACTGAACTGAGAGTTTATTTTTGTAATCTGTAATATATCTTATCACAGGCTTTTACGTACTACTTCAAAGAAATATATGTTGTTATCACAAAACACATACTGGAAAACCAACAACTATGCTATGAACTTCTTGTATGGTACAAGATACGCAGTTATCTGTGATTTGGTGTCATTTTGATGTACCAACAATGCAGGAATGAGTTCAGTCTGAATTTATATCAGAAAAGCCTAATGGTTTCTGTCCATAGTATGCACACATTATTTTCCCGTAAGACTCAATTCTTCCCCTTTTCACCTAAGTAATCAGGTACCGACCATTCTGGTTAGTGCTAGTACCATTCTGCTCTCAGCTATGTTTTTACAACTCAGATGGGGCCCACACATCTCAATTACAGTGATATAACTGTAATTTTTTCTTCAGGGCTTTCGAATAGGCTTGTGGTAAGAATAAACTATATGTAGGCTACACGCATGAAGTATTTTGCATCTTATTCTGATACATTATTCATGTATAAACACATCATTAAGAAAAGAAGACGTAGGGAAAAATAAGACTTTGAGGCTATTTCATACAAGAAACAGTAACATTTCAGGAATCTAATGTATCTTGGACTCATTTTTTTTCCCATAGACATTAAAATGCTATTAAGATGACTAGAGCTATGTGAAAATAATTTTTTAGGAATTACCTTTCTGTCCCCTCTTGCCTTTGATTTGTTATATGGGCTTACTCCTTTATTAAAATAAGCGCCTTGCTCAAATGCTCCATAGCTTGGTAACAGAATGATTGCAATCTGCAATTTAGACTTTAAAAAAAATCTTCTAATATATGTAATTACATAACGAAACAAGTCAATTATATCTGTAGATGATGCTAAGAAATTAATGGTTTCTATGTAAACATGTATAGACATTAAACTTTGGTAGTGTGCACTTCCACAGTGATATGTTATAATGATCCGATGATAACAATATTTTGCAGTTCCTTACAATGAAAGGAATATATTATTATTGTGGATATATGAACCAGCAAAGCTCTTTTATCTATCATGTTTACATATTAAAAATGCAATGAAGTTCTTCAAAATGTATCAATGAAAACCTTTCACCCCAAATATTTGTGACTGAATGCAGCAACTTAAGAATTCTGAGGTAGTTCTGGGTTATCTCAGTGTGGGACCTTGACAACCTCAGTATTAATTTGGAAAAAGGATAATTACATCCAGCAGCTTCCATGCACAGACATTATGTCAACTACTTTTTCTATGACCTAGCTAGACAAGCCAGGATTTGTTTATTTAATTAAAAGAATAGTCAATGTTGGGAACATGCAATGGCAATAAAGTAGACATGCAACATTTAAAGGAATTAGAGCTGAATTTTGTAAACACTTCAGAGAGGTACCTAAGCTCCTTCAGAGTGTCTTACTTTCCATGAAACTTTAATTCAAATTTTAAAAAGTAGCACAAGGTTTAAATACTGTGTTTGACACTGCTCCCTGAGGCACAAAGCTATATAATTCATATGATGGAAGGCAACAAATGAAGCAAAACCAAGTTAAGGAGAGAAGCTGCAGGTCCCAGGTAAGTGAACTCATATGTTACTTGACAAAGTCTGAGACAGATGCTTCTATCCAGAGAAGTTCTGCCAGAGTGTAATAATTATGCAGAAGAAAAGCAGATGAACAAATGCAGTAAAAAGTTTCAGAAGATTTCCTGGAAGAGCTGCAATATGAGCTGCCCTCTGTCAAATCTGCCATACCCCCCCCCCCCCCCACGGTGCTTTTTTCCCCCCCCCCCCCAGTAGGTATTTGATATAGTCACCCCCAACAGGTATTTGCTATGACAAAAGGGACAGCAAGATCCTTCAAACCATCATGTTAGGGACTGCAGGAAGACCCAGGAGAGTTTCTCACAGTGCTGCCCTGAAAACTGGATTCTATACCTACCTGAAGTTTTCATGTTATCCCATGCTTAAACCTAGATCCTCAAGATAGTTATTGACAAATTTCTAATTGTCTGGTTGCTCAACCCAGAGATTCTTGTCACTCAGCTGCAAATGAAGCTACTGAAAAATTACTCTTTAAACACATGCAGCACTGCATAAAGTACACTGCAATCTCAGATTCTAAATTAGCAATCGTTAGCTTTATCTATTTGTTCCTTCTTCGTAACAGGAAAAATTGCTACTATCTCACTGCTTAAGGCAGTTCTAAAGACACTCCCATCAGTGTATGTGTTACTGAGAAAGGTCTGAGGAGCAGAAGGATTCTGACTTTAGACAAAATTGTGTGCAATAAATACAATGCATGACACTGAACAATTAGGATAAAAGAAAGATGTATGCCCAATTAAGTATTTACATATGTATTAGTTAGCCAGAACTCTTGGGATTGTGGACAGGAGGAGTAACAAAATATATGATCAGGTAACCCAAGACTTAGTAAGTACAAAAAAGCTTGAATCAAGACTACTTGGGCTGTTTCCTTGTGTCCTTTGCAAACTTTATGAATGTTGAACTTTGCAATCATAATGTATTTTCATCAGTGGGCTGTGGTATATGTATCTTAGAAAAAAATTTACTAGAGCACTTACCTCAGTTTACTTACTGCATAACACAACTGGAAATATTTATGGCTTTTGGCCCCACTGTGACTGTTACATCTCAAAGAAATAACAGACTATCTGACTTTACTAGAAGAGGTTGTATGACAGTATTAAGTTAATCCGAAGCACAGTAAATATGCAAGAACTTTTTGTACAGGAAGCTTGATGCATAATATATAGTACATACAGGAATGTTTTTTCAGTTGAACAGAAAGATAAGGAGAGATGAGAAGATCAGTACTGTGAGAGTCAGTGAAAATATCCAGAGCTCAGCCCTTCAAGTTGTACTGTGGTGTTTCACTAAAGAGCATCTGTTTCTCAGTAGGGAGCATTGGCTGAGTTTCTCTTTGGAAAAGAGCATCAGCATCAGCCAACTGCCTTAGTTTTATCAGTTCTATAGTTTGTTTGACAATGTCTATTATTTATTAGCTGCAGGTTGCTGAGAACAGCCTGCATGTCATTCTATTTGAATCTCTGCTGGCTCCCAATTAAGAACATAAATTGGTGAAATCTCATGGGAGATTTAAAAACCTAACAAACCACCTTTGGTTTGAGGTAAGAGGACTAGAAAACGGAAAATATTACATCCAAATGGAAAATACTACCTCCAAAAATGTGCATCAAGACACAGCAAGAACATCAGACACACACATTTATGAATTAAGCAAAGTTTCTAAGGATAGTCCTCTCCATACACAAGGAAAACTTTTTTTTTTTTTAATAAGGTCACTCAGATGGTGAAAAACTGGTGAAAAACTAAACATGTGAAAAAGTAAAGAAGCTGTATACTAGCAACAGCACAATATATTTTATAATGGTGAAACTACTGGCTCTTTCATTCCTAGAGGTAAACTTATGCACTTTGCCTACACTTCAGTACATTCTCCATAAGTAAAGAAATTAAAGAAAGGTATGGGTTCATTCTGCTCCTTAGAAAATAGTATGTTTTGGAAGAACATAGAATAAATAGGTTACAAGATCATCTAGTCTAAAACCCTAGTGAATGCATGGCCAACTTGCATGAGATTGCTCAGGGCTATTCAAGTTATCAGTATGTCCAAGGATGGAGATTTCACAGCCTCTTTGGATGCCACTTCTAGTATATGACTACCATCACTGTGAAAAAATACTTGCCATGTAACCTTGTTGCATGATGCCTTTACAGTACTTCTAAGTGTTGTAAATAGCAAGTATTTAATAAACAGGAGCAATGTTCTATTGGCTAAATTCCAAAATTCAGATTATTACTATTCCTGTGATCGTGTAATTTTTGCCTATTATGAACTTTTCTCAAAGAATGTCACAGAAACTCGGAGCCAAGTTACTGTGGTTATCATTTTATGGAGACAGGACAAAAATTAATCTGTTTAGTAATGGCAGAATAGCCACCATGGTGGCTTCTCTATGGTGAGATCAGGAACCAATGTGTATCAAAAGTACTGACAGATAGGAACTAAGCTGGCCCACACTATAATGCTGTAATTAACCTTATGCAACTTTAGACATCTAATAGCTTGATGTTTAGTTTAAGTCATCAATATAGATTCCACCCAGAGGAAATTCAAGGGAAAGATAAGACATATCAGGATTATTCAGGTCACCTCAACCTACTTTCTTTCTGCAACCACAGAAGGTGGTTTGACAACTGTAGCCAATGCTAGGAGATGTAGTACAATCTGTCTTAAAAAACGATGATTCATTTTAGCAGCTGCTGGCATCTTGTTGTATGATGGCTCTGTTAATTCTATCTCTTCCTATTTAATAGATTTCTTTGCAATTTGAGAAAATCTGAGAAGCTCAAGTGAGCAGTTATAAACCTCTAATTCTTATTTTCATAATAAAAATAGCACTGGCTTTAGCTGTATCCTATAGCTAGATGTGAAAAATACACTAGGGGATCTTGATGGGATGACAGGAAACATATGTTTCATTACAAGACCTTCATTACAGTTCATTACAGAACTTTGTCTTGTCTTCACCTAGTATATTCTGCTGAGGTATCATCTGGGGAAAGAGTAGTTACGATTAGCACAGACACAGTCTCCATCAGTGTGTGCCAGCACTGAGTAATGAGGTTACTAAGTAACCTATTCAGAAATTATCTGCATTTCTACATCTTCCTTTCAGTAGGTTGCTAATCAAAGGTGGAATCACTAGAGTGATGCATTTTCACTGAAGCAAGAACATCTTCTTTGTGTCTAAAAATACTCTATGAGGTAGATTTCAGTTTTGAATCTAGTATCTAGTTTTATAAAGGTGGGCAGCCTTTTAACCATATTTACGGTTCTTTTGCTGTAAGCTGGCATTGGTGGATAAATAACAACAATAATAATGGATCAGTTTAGTACTAAACCCATGCCATATTTCTCCACCAAACACTTGCCCTCAAATATCATATGCAACAAATACCTCCAATAAAATGACTAAGATAGTTTGCTCAGTGGTCTGACTGATGACAACTAAAGCTTTTGGGACCACTCTTTTAAAAAGAAATTCAGACTTCTGAACTACAAGGACATTAGTGATACTTGCCTAATATGACACATTTCTGTAAGAAAGACGATAATGAAATAGAAATACAGCTTTTTTTCCATAGCTGAAAGGCTTCAGTGGTATAGTTAATTTTACAGTTTGGTGCTTTGTCTTTCATGAATACACATGCATCCCCCAAAAGACTGTTCTATTTTAAAAATCAGGATCTGTATATTTGTGCAATTAAATACCTTTCCGATGAAACTGCAGTGATCCTAGCAGACATATGGACTTAAGCATTTCTGTTGTGTACATTTCTAAGCAACACTGCAACTGGATGTATAGCCTACAGATTTCAGGATGAATTTCACCATCTTCTGGGCTGCAGCAAAAGAGAAAAAGTTCAGTTAGGAATGGGACTGGAAGGACACAAAGATCATCAAATACACTTCCCTGCTGTTGCAAGCAACCACATCATAATCTGCTTCATAAACTACTAAGCTATGTGTATATGATAAAAAGCCTGTTTCTGCCAAACTGTATTTACAAACAATTCTTTAGCTCTGTAAAGCTCTAGGCTTAAACCAGCTAAACTTGGGTTGTCTTTGCTAAGACTGCACATCTGTATTTTCTCTTCTGCATATTTTTGGAAAAGGGATAAGTAAGTGACTTGAGATCTTTTCTTTAAAAGGTTTGGATAAGTATTTTTCTAGTAGATTGAAAGGTTCTTTTGCCATCCAGTTTCAGTTACCCTTAGTCCTGGTGCAGATGCAGGAGATTGCAGGGCCACTTTCACAGGTTACAAATCCTGGATCAGGCACAATCAACCATGCTCTGATGACACTCTCATCAAAAACAAGTCAAATGTAGTCTTTTGGTTCTACAGTTTCTGCCTGAATTTTTCCCCCTGTGTTTAAATTAGTAGTCATGTGATACTGCACTATGAGGAGAACGAGATGGTCAAGAATTTTTTTCAGAAAAGTAGTAACAATCTTGAAAACAAAAATTGAAATAAAGAGTAATCCTACATCACCCAGATCCAGGAACCATTTCTCATGCCTGGCTGTAAAATCAGACATTAAACCTCACTTTTGTAGTCTGAGAATGCTGCATAAGCATAAGCATACTTTTCTTATAAACTTAACTATTTCTGTGAGTGCTAACAAAGCAGTTTACCCAGTCACACCTGAGAATTAGTTTTTCAGTGCTCCTTCCAAAGGTCTTTTAATAGGGCAGTAAGTAGTAAGACTGAAGAGTTGGGATTTCAGCCATTTCATGTTCAGACATTCTTGCTATTGGTTTGCTGTACAGTGATGTTAAATGGTAAGGTAACCCTCTAAACTGGATTTTATAACAACTAGAGGAACCCGCTTTTCTAAATAACCTGAACCTAGTGGGATTTCTGATAACTACTGCTAAGAAATGAAAAAAAAAATTTCAGCACACTTTCAGATTTCTAGTATATGAATAATATAAATGAAGCTTCCACAATAAAAAGATTGATAGCATTATTTACAGTGATTGAATTTCCTGTGGTTAAACTGATGCTTCAAAAAACCCTCCTGTATATGAAATAAAAGTAGACTTGTGGATTTCCTCATGGGAACAAAAGCGACTTACCTGATACATTATTTGCAGAAAGACTACTTTGGTCTGCTACGGTAAAATAGACACTTAATACCAATCTAGGCCAAAGGCTTCAAGACCTCCAGCAGAAAATGTCTCTTTAAACTAATAAAATAGGTTCTTTCTGACCTAAGATTAGAGGTCATTACTTATACCTAAATCCAGGGTCCAGTGAAAATGTTAAGTTCAGCTGTTTGGTCAAGAACAAAGCTTAAAAACCCTTTTTTAAGGAAAATCCTATCAGTTTGTGCTGATACAATCTCACTGAAGTTCAGTTCAAATGAATACTGCATACTAAAACCTTCCTGCATTTGAGATTCACCATGATTTCTAACAAAGGAGACTATACATTGCCTAGAAAGCGTGCACCTTCTGCCACTGATTTCAGTGACATCAAGGAAGAATATACTTAGTCATATCCTGGGGTAAGCAAACAGGGCCCGTGTATGGTAGGCTCTGAAGCGTGTGGATCAGTGGGCAGGAGAAAGGAGCAATCTCAAAGGAATATCTGATGCAAGGGACTTGCCATAATCTGCCTCCAATGAGGAAGAAACCATGTGGTTTTCCAAGGTCCTCAAGGGTTCCTGTCCCTCCAAGTGACATCAGAAACCAGATGGGACCATGAAGGTTCCACAGAATTGGTGAGAACCTCCCTAAAAGGAAAGAGCAACCTCTAGCACTTCCACAGCATATGAAGGAGGACTACTGGTGTCTGTACATGCCAAAGAAAACTGGTAAGAACCAGAGTAATGGTAAGCTCTACAATCAAGAATGCTTAGATCAGGAAAAAATGCAGCCAAAAAATACAAGGTTTGAGAAGATTGCAGAATTAAAATAAAGCATGTTGGACTTAGTCAGAAGGGACAAAGGAAGATCGGTCCCATCTGCCAATCCATTACAAAGTGAAACTCATCAAAAAGGCAGGATAAAACTGGAGTACAAATTACAATTACCATGGTCTGTGTTACTTCAGGAGCAATACCATACACATGAAAATAAATCTGCCCATCCTAGGAGCTTTATTTCTTCTGACTAGATTATAATAAGTGCATTTCTCTTAAGCCACATCTACTTTCTACTTTTAAAGTGAAGTCTGCATTTGTTGAAGAACTATACCATGCACAATATGGTATTTCTTTCATCTTATCATACATACAGAATAAAGCTATGGTGGCAGAACAAAAAGAGTTCACCCCCAGTACTCTGAAGATGTCTTTTCAGAGGCTTCCTGTATTTCTTCCTATTCTCAGTGATTCCAACTCGGAAAATATTTGATAGCCTTAAGACCCTGAATAATTTTTTCTGAAAAATTAGCTACCTGACAGATTTTTTTTTTTTGTTTATTCAGTGACACGTCCTTAAGTGCATATGAAAACACATATTTCCTAGAAAGGGATCCATATTGAAAACTCACATTCTTCTTTCCAAAGGATAGGAACATAAGTATTTCTAGTGACTGCATAAGCAGTAGTATAACAAAATAAAGAATGCAAGTTCTGAAATGCTGAAAATTATGCTTAGAAGACACATAGCATGGCAACACACATACATACACACAAAATTGTTTTGGGATAAACTGAATTTGATTTTTATAAACTGTACTTAATTGTGGGCTCCTCAGACACGTTTAAGTTCTACTTTGTACATTACAATATTTTATACTTTTTTGTCTTCCATTAAGTATCTAGTACTTTTTGTCTTGGATTAATCCATAGTATCTAGTCCTGGTTTAACAAGAATTAAATCTTAAGATTCGCTGCAGTTGTGTTTGCTGTTTCTTTAATTTTTAACCTATCTATTTGTTATATGAATTGCAGCTGTTAAATCTTTGACCACTTAGCTGACTAGAAATGGACTGTTCTCTCTGCATAAACAATAACGATAAATTTAACAGCATTTCTTTTCAAACTGGCAGGTGGCAAGAAAGGTTTTTAATGTAATCATATTGATATTAACCGAAGAAGATAAAACACATATAGCCCAGATATAAATGTAATTTGTTTTAGCATAAATCAGGAGCAGTTCTTCAGAAGTAGACTGTTCTTTCTAAATCCTAACAGTATTCAAGACCAGGATCTAGTCTTTCATCTTGCATGTACTGTTCCTAATGATTTCAACATTTTCTGTAAAAAAGTTACAAGATTGGATTAAATTTAGAGCAGAATAGGATTCTGATGTTTGACGTTAAGAGGCAGACTTAGGAGTAAATGTAACCTTGCAGAATTCAGCTAACTAAATACAGCACAAACAAGGAACCAGCCAAATACAGCAAAAGTACAGTACACCACACTTTCTTACTCTGGAATAGTATTTTAACTTTCTGAACTTTTATTCTGAACAGTTTTTACTTCTCTGATAGTTAAATTTAAGAACCACGCAATACATCTTTAGATAATACATGGCCTCTTGGAGGCTTTTACTATCCTGATTTGTCCTACCTTTTAGCTGACAGATGAGATTTTTTTTTTACCCCTTAGTGTCACATACTCTTACATGTGCATTTGACACTATTCCCAAATTCAGCACTATGGAATTACTGCAGTGGATGGAGATAGAGCTTTTTTTTTTGCCCCATTGTCTGCTCCACTTCCTGTTGCAGCTCCTTTCCCCTTAAGCACACATACAGTAATTTCCTTTGAACTATCCTTACCAACCGAGTGATACAAAAAGATTTAGGAGTGTAGAATTCAATTTACTTTCCATATTTAGCACCCAGGTCCAAAATTTAGCTCGTCAAAATTTTTGCTTATTTCATGTAATACCCAGGTCCTGGAGCCCCACCAATATACACACAAGCAGTTTCTGCTTGAGCTTCCTAGATGCCTAAACTGTTCTTTCTGATCAGGGCTTCCTTTGTCCTGAAGATGAACAGTTACACAACCAGTAATGGACAAACAAATCATTGATTTGCCTGTTCCACCTGCAGGGCACTGCTCCATAAATGTTCACGTGCAAAGTGGAACCTGCAAAAAAACAAAGCCACCACAGACGGCAACAATAACCTTTTTCTGCTCAGTGCTGAGAGTGCCTTCTGACAGGGAGATACAGATCTACTCCACTCGCTTACGCAAGTAAAGATGAATCTGTCTAGCTCTTCTGAAAGCTAGGATTCTTTAACCTAGAGGCTATCACTAAGAGGAGCAGGGAAACTTACATCATGAGCAGATAATTTCCTTGTAGCAGATTTAGATAAAACTGAATTATGGTTGTCCTATTTTTCTTTGCATTGTTTCAAATGTTAGAAATCCTTAGGTTTTTTTAGAAGTCATGGGCATTACAGGAACTTTACAATGCTGAATGTATTTCTTCCTTTCTGTCACTGGCAAAAAGAGTGAGAGTCTGCACACGGTGTAAGAAAACAGTATTTTCCTCATACAGCTATTTAACTTCAAGAAGTAAAAATGGTGAAAACCTTTCTTTAGAACTTTTTTGGTTTTACTTACAGAATTTTTAATTGCGCAGACTAAGAAATCAGCAATTATATGTAACATGATTGGCTCATAAGCCAATTTGAACTTATCAGTGGCTTCCTATTCACAAATGAGCTGCAAGAGTAATTGGAAAGCACAGTAATAGGTATTCTAATTTACTTTTTTTGCTGTTGTAAATCTAATATATTTTTTCTTGTAAACTATATTTATGAATAGCATGAGAATAAGAACTAGAAGCATCTATAATACATGCATGGTCTGACCCATTCTTGTTTTTTTTCAAGAATATGGAGCATCTGTAATTGGACAGTGGGCAAACTCTTCT